TTACACCGCCTTTACACCACCTTTACACCGCCTTTACACTGCCTTTACACCGCCTTTACACTGCCTTTACACCGTCTTTACACCACCTTTACACCGTCTTTACACCACCTTTACACCACCTTTACACCACCTTTACACCGCCTTTACACCACCTTTACACCGCCTTTACACCGCCTTTACACCACCTTTAAACCGCCTTTACACCAGGTTTACACCGCCTTTACACCAGGTTTACACTGCCTTTACACCACCTTTACACCAGGTTTACACTGCCTTTATACCAGGTTTACACCGCCTTTACACTGGGTTTACACTGCCTTTACACCACCTTTACCCCGCCTTTACACCACCTTTACACCGGGTTTACACCACCTTTACACCGCCTTTACACCACCTTTACACCGGGTTTACACCACCTTTACCCCGGGTTTACACCACCTTTACACCACCTTTACCCCGGGTTTACACCACCTTTACACCACCTTTACACCGGGTTTACACCACCTTTACACCACCTTTACACCGGGTTTACAACACCTTTACCCCGGGTTTACACCGCCTTTACACCACCTTTACACCGGGTTTACACCGGGTTTACACCACCTTTACACCGCCTTTACACCGGGTTTACACTGCCTTTACACCACCTTTACACTGCCTTTACACCACCTTTACACCGTTTAAGACCTCCTTTTAGACCAGTTTTAAGTCAGGTTTAAACCAGAGTACTGAAGACCTCCTTTAGATTGAGTTTAGTCCTGCTTTAGACCTGGTTTAGTCCTGGTTTAGTTCTGGTTTAGTCCTGGTTCTGACCCAGATCTGTTTCAGGGCTCTGAACTTCGGTGGGATCGGTGTGGTGATGGGACATGAGTTGACACACGCCTTCGACGACCAGGGTGAGTCCAGACCCGGACTCGGACCCAGACCCAGGGTCTGGGTTTCAAATCCTGGTCCAGACCTGGTTCAGACCCGGTTGTTGCTCGTTGCAGGGCGGGAGTACGATAAAGAGGGGAACCTGCGGCCCTGGTGGCAGAACAGCTCTGTGGCGGCGTTCTCGGAGCGGAGTCGCTGTATGGAGGTGCAGTACCAAAACTACAGCGAGAACGGAGAGAACGTGAACGGAAAACAGACGCTCGGAGAGAACATGGCCGACAATGGAGGGCTGAAGGCGGCCTATCGGGTGAGAGGGGCGGGGCTACAGAGGGGCGGGGCCTATCGGGTGAGAGGGGCGGGGGCTACAGAGGGGCGGGGCCTAACGGGTGAGAGGGGCGGGGCTACAGAGAGGCGGGGCCTATCGGGTGAGAAAATGACATTCGTCTCCGTTTTGGACTTTTACTATTTTTCGACTCCCAGAGTCTAGTCCTGCTCTAGTCTTGGTCTTGGTCTGGTCCTGGTCTGAGTCCTGGTCTGGTCCTGGTCTAAGTCCTGGTCTGGTTCTGGTTTCAGGCATACCGGTCGTGGGTGCAGAGACACGGGGAGGAGAAGCTTCTTCCTGCGGTGAACCTCACCAACGACCAGCTCTTCTTCGTGGGATTTGCTCAGGTCTGTGACTCCTCCCCCTCCTGACTCCTCCCCCTCACCTGTCCTCTCACCTGTCCTCTCACCTGTCCCTCCCGTGTGCTCGTCAGGTGTGGTGTTCAGTCCGGACTCCGGAGAGCGCTCACGAGGGTTTGGTGACGGACCCTCACAGTCCTCCGCGTCTGCGCGTCATCGGGACCCTCGCCAACTCGCCCGAATTCAGCCGCCATTTCCAGTGCCCGCTGGGGTCGCCCATGAACCCCGGGCGCCGCTGCGAGGTGTGGTGAGCCGAACGCTCCAATCACAGCGCGCCACCTCAGAAACTCCTCCCACAAACTCAGAGGAAACACACGCCCTCCCTGTGTGTCAGGTCCCCTCCTGTGTGTCAGGTGCCCTCCCTGTGTGTCAGGTGCCCTCCCGTGTGTCAGGTGCCCTCCCTGTGTGTCAAGTGCCCTCCCGTGTGTCAGGGGCCCTCCCTGTGTCAGGTGCCCTCCTGTGTGTCAGGTCCCCTGCCGTGTGTCAGGTCCCCTCCCTGTGTGTCAGGGGCCCTCCCTGTGTGTCAGGGGCCCTCCCTGTGTGTCAGGGGCCCTCCTGTGTGTCAGGTCCCCTCCCTGTGTGTCAGAGGCCCTCCCTGTGTGTCAGGTCCCCTCCCTGTGTGTCAGGGGCCCTCCCTGTGTGTCAGGTGCTCTCCTGTGTGTCAGGTGCTGTCCCTGTGGCAGGTGCAGATTGGAGGCGGGACTTACACTGGATTGCACCAATAGGAAGTGTCTTACAGGACTGTGGACCAATCACAGAGCATGTTTTTGGACTCGTTTTGGACCAATTGTGTGTTTTTATTTAAGTGAAGGAGCCAATGAGAAGTGCCAAATGGACTCAGGGGCGGGGCCAGCGCTGGCGGCCAATCAGGTGACAGGAGTAGATGTGATGTATTTTTAGACTGAAATATTTAATTTAATGTGACTCCTGAGAACCCCAGAGGACCTCAGAAGACCCCAGAGGACCTCAGAGGACTCCAGAAGACCTCAGAGGACATCAGAAGACCCCAGAGGACCTCAGAGGACCCCAGAGGACTCCAGAAGACCTCAGAGGACTCCAGAAGACCCCAGAGGACCCCAGAGGACCCCAGAGGACCTCAGAGGACCCCAGAGGACCTCAGAAGACCCCAGAGGACCTCCGAAATCGTCTAAACTCTGAGTTTTGTCGAGATTCTGGAGTCGAATCAGAGAAAAGATCAAATCCAAATTTTGTGATTTTTACCTTTTGGACATTTCACAGTAAAACTGTTATTCACAAGAAACTCGGCCCCAGACCCCGGGGTCTGTGACATCATCACGTTCTACCACGGACCCCGGGGCCCCAGTCTGACGATTTACAAACACAAAGTCGAGTTTTAAATAAATTTAATTCTGAAAAAAATGAAGACGTTTGAGTCAAATGAGACGTTTAATTATGAAGAGTTACGGAGGGGCCTCTGGGGGCCGCTGCAGGACTCTCTGCGGGGCCCTCTCGGGGTTCCTCTGTGGTCCTCTCACAGGTCCTCTCAGGGGCCCCTCGGTCGGTCCTGTGTGGGTCCTCTGCGGGGCCCTCGGGGGGGGGCCGTGTGTTTGTGTCCCTGTTCGTCTTGTTCTTTTGCCTTTAAATATTTAAATAAACCGACACCACGAGCTTCACTTTGTTTGTGTCACTTTATTACACCAGGTACAGATCAGGTCTGTGGAGGGGCGAGCTCACTGAGTCATGTACAGATCAGGTCTGTGGAGGGGCGAGCTCACTGTGAGTCATGTACAGATCAGGTCTGTGGAGGGGCGAGCTCACTGAGTCATGAACAGATCAGGTCTGTGGAGGGGCGAGCTCACTGTGAGTCATGTACAGATCAGGTCTGTGGAGGGGCGAGCACACTGTGAGTCATGTACAGATCAGGTCTGTGGAGGGGCGAGCTCACAGAGTCATGTACAGATCAGATCAGGTCTGTGGAGGGGGAACTCACGAGTACAGATCAGGTCTGTGAGTCATGTACAGATCAGGTCTGTGGAGGGGCGAGCTCACTCACTGTCATTAAACACTAGAAACAAAAGTTTTATTTATTTGTTTTTTCCATCAAACACAAGTTTGAATCAAAACTTCAATTAAACACGAGACAAAAGCATCAACACGAACACCTCACTCCAAGAACTAAACCAGGACTGAACCAGGACTGAACCAGGACTGAACCAGGACTAAAGGGTCCTTCAGTGTCTCAGTTTGTGAAAATAAATCTTTTGTTTCATAAATATTTTGCCTCTAGTAAAAAAAATAATAAATTAAACTGAAATGTTCCTGAAACAACAACAACACACACACACACAAACACACACACACACACACACACACACACACAAACACACACACAAACACACACACACACACAAACACACACACACACACACACAAACACACACACAAACACACACACACAAACACACGCACCAGAACCAGAACCACATTCTAATCATGTCTTTCATGACGTCGTGAGTTTTTCTTTATTTGTCGTGAGTTTCTTGACTCAGATGTTCCTGAAAGTTCCGTGTTCCCTCAGAGGAACATGTTTTATTCCGCTCTCTGTTGTCACGGCGACGAAACACGGAACCTTCCATCTGTCGACTCAACTGTTTCTAACCGAGCGTTTCAGCCAATCAGAGCGGGGCGGGGCTAAAGGCTGCGGCCAATCAGGTGATTCTTCTCCGGCTCCAGAAACTCGTCCAATAGCGACGCAGAGACAGAAAGAAGCTCCGCCTCCAAAGCCGACGCGTCGCTGAAAAAACAAAAACAAACAAACAAAAACACCAGTAAAAAGTATTAGTGTACTGTAATACTACTGGAGTACTACTGGAGTACTACTGTACTACTACTGTACTACTACTGGAGTACTACTGGAGTACTACTGTACTACTACTGTACTACTACTGGAGTACTACTGGAGTACTACTGTACTGCTACTACTGGAGAACTACTGTACTACTACTGTACTACTACTGTAATACTACTGGAGTACTACTGGAGTACTACTGTACTACTACTGTACTACTACTGGAGTACTACTGGAGTACTACTGTACTGCTACTACTGGAGTACTACTGGAGTACTACTGTACTACTACTGTAATACTACTGGAGTACTATGGGCGGCAGTACTTCAGTTGGGTGTGTGTGTGTGTGGTAGTAGTAATAGAAGTAATAGTAGTAGTAGTAATAGTAGTAGTAGTACCTGTGGCGTCCCGCCTCTCCGCAGATCTCGGCGTACATCTTGATCTTTGGTTCGGTGCCGCTCGTTCGGAGCGTCGCCGTGACGCCGTTTTCCAGCCAGAAAGTGATCATGTGACCTCCACTGACAGGGAGCAGCTGCCGACACACCACACACACATTACACCAGATGCCCTGCCACGCACCAATGCTCCAATCACAGCGCAGGGGCGGAGCCGAGCGCCACACTCGCCACTGACAGGTGCATGATGGGAGCTGTAGTCGTACTCACACTTGTGTTGTCGCTCTGGCGGCTGTCGTAGTTGGCGCCGATGTCCCTGACGTGCAGGATCCTGCAGGAGGCGCAGGATTTGGGGTACGTCCCCGAACCCTGGAAATCTCGGAGCCGAGAAAAAATCCGATTCACCGTGAGCGGATCGTGACAGATGAGGTACGACGTCCGCGACACGTGGAGACCGTAACTACACAAAAACACACGATTAATAAAACTACAACTACACAGAGACACGATTAATAAAACTACAACTACACAGAGACACGATTAATAAAACTACAACTACACAGAGACACGATTAATAAAACTACAACTACACAGAGACACACGATTAATAAAACTACAACTACACAGAGACACGATTAATAAAACTACAACTACACAGAGACACGATTAATAAAACTACAACTACACAGAGACACGATTAATAAAACTACAACTACACAGAGACACGATTAATAAAACTACAACTACACAGAGACACGATTAATAAAACTACAACTACACAGAGACACGATTAATAAAACTACAACTACACAGAGACACACGATTAATAAAACTACAACTACACAGAGACACGATTAATAAAACTACAACTACACAGAGACACGATTAATAAAACTACAACTACAACTACACAGAGACACGATTAATAAAACTACAACTACACAGAGACACGATTAATAAAACTACAACTACACAGAGACACGATTAATAAAACTACAACTACACAGAGACACGATTAATAAAACTACAACTACACAGAGACACGTGAAAAGGTCGTGTGTGGGACTCACGTCTCGTAGACTTTTTGAAGCTGTTGGCTCAGACTCAGGTTCTGGTGATGGAGGAAACTCGCCATTTCTGCCACAACCGCCGCCGCGCTCACGCCGTCTTTCTCTGGAACCAGACTCCCACACAGGAACCCTACAAGAACCACACCCAGAACCTCAGACTCCACAGAAACCTCAAGCCCAGACCCTGTGGTGGGAGGGCAGGACTCACCGATCGACTCCTCAAATGAAAACAGAACTTTGTGTCCAGACTTCAGCAGCTCCTGGATCCTGTTCCCGATCCACTTAAACCCAGGAAGAGTCTCCTGAAAACAAACCAGGTCTGAGCCAGGACTGAACCACGACTGAACCAGGACTGAACCAGGACTGAACCAGGACTGAACCAGGACCAAACCTCGTAGCAGAGTCCCTCTTTGCTGCAGATGCTCTGGAGGATCTTGGAGGAGACTGTGGTGGTCAACATGAACACTTTCTGCTCTTGGGTCCGGTCTTGGGTCCGGTCTTGGGTCCGGTCTTGGGTCCGGTCTTGGGTCCGGTCTTGGGTCCGGTCTTGGGTCCGGTCTTGGGTCTGGTCTTGGGTCCGGTCTTGGATCTGGTCTTGGATCCGGTCTTGGGTCCGGTCTTGGGTCCGGTCTTGGGTCTGGTCTTGGGTCCGGTCTTGGATCTGGTCTTGGGTCCGGTCTTGGGTCTTTCTGTAGTTCAGTAACATCCACCATCCGAGCAGAGCAGCCATCTCATTCCCCGAGAAGATCCTCCACTGACCACTAGGAGACAAGGAGACAAGGAGGTAGGGGTTAAGGGTTAGTGGTTAGGAGGTAGGGGTTTGGAGGCAGGATGTAGGAGGTAGGGGTTAGGGGTTAGGAGGTAGGGGTTAAGGGTTAGTGGTTAGTGGTTAGGAGGTAGGGGTTAGGGGATAGGAGGTAGGGGTTAAGGGTTAGTGGTTAGGAGGTAGGGGTTAAGAGGTAGGAGGTAGGGGTTAGGGGATAGGAGATAGGAGGTAGGGGTTAAGGGTTAGTGGTTAGGAGGTAGGAGGCAGGATGTAGGAGGTAGGATGTAGGAGGTAGTAGGTAGGATGTAGGAGATAGGATGTAGGGGTTAGGAGGTAGGGGTTAGGGTGTAGGATGTGGGGGTTAGGAGGTAGGAGGTAGGAGGAGGTAGGTAGGTAGGGGTTAGGACGTAGGGGTTAGGAGGTAGGAGGTAGGATGTAGGAGGTAGGGGTTAGGAGGTAGGATGTAGGGGTTAGGAGGTAGGGGTTAGGAGGTAGGAGGTAGGAAGCTGGATGTAGGATGTAGTATGTAGTAGGTAGGATGTAGGAGGCAGGAGGTAGGATGTAGGGGTTAGGAGGTAGGAGGTAGGGGTTAGGACGTAGGGGTTAGGAGGTAGGAGGTAGGATGTAGGGGTTAGGAGGTAGGATGTAGGAGGTAGGGGTTAGGAGGTAGGGGTTAGGAGGTAGGAGGTAGGAAGCTGGATGTAGGATGTAGTATGTAGTAGGTAGGATGTAGGAGGTAGGAGGTAGGATGTAGGGGTTAGGAGGTAGGACGTAGGGGTTAGGAGGTAGGAGGTACCTGGGGTCCTTCTCGGCCACGGCGAGTCGGTCGGCGTCTGGATCTGTGGCCAAAACCAACTGAGCATCTTCAGAGTCTGCGACAGACAGGGCCAACGCCTAGACAGGTGC